CATCCTTTATGCTGCTTTTCCTGTGTGGTTTCTTATTTGTAATGTGTTACAAACTGCCATATCTACTCTGCATCTCTCTTAGATTTAAAAAAAGAAATATATGGAAGTTGGAAGCAAGACCAGGTAATAGAAGATGAATTTAAGAGTATATTGTGGTTCTGTAAAATAATATTTAAGGAATATAAAAGCTTAGAATGAGCTGAAAGTGATGAAAAGAAGGGAACAAGCATTTATTAAGTGCCTCCTAGGCTCCATGTACTGTGCTAAGCACTTTTCAAATAACTCGTTTGATCTTCACAACAACTGTGAGAAGCAGGTGCTGTTATTATCCTCATTTTATAATTAAGGAAACTGAGGCAGAGATTAAATGATTTATGTAAGGTCACATAGCTAGTAAGCGTCTAAGGTCAAATTTGAACTCTAGCCTTTTTGACTCCAGGCCCACCAGTGTTCTGACTATTGCACCACCAGTTCTGAGAGAAGCTAAGAACAAAAAAAAAATTTGTTTGTTTTAGCTATATTGGGAGAAAAAGGAGGATCCAAGAAGGGATACAACCTTTGTTTAGGGTAGATCGACAATGACAACTGATGACATAGAGAAGGTAGAGCTACTTAATTATTATTTTGTTTCTGTTTGCAAAAGAGAATGACCTTTGTAGTGAAAATGGCAGAACAAAAATGACTAACAGGGAATAAATACCCATGATAAGGAAGGACAGAGTCAGAAAGTGCCTAAATGCCCTTAGTGAATTAAAGTTACCTGGCCCAGATGAACAACATCTTTGGGTCCTGAAAGAATTAGCTATGATGGGTGAAATGTGAAGTAAAGGTTTGAGCTTCCGAGCATATCAGTTTATTAAGCAGTGCATTCCAGTTGCGTAACAAATCAGGATCAGGCCTCCTTAGCTTAGCATTGGACCATGAATACTGGGGGAGATGTATTTTTATGCATTAAAAACACAAAACAAAACAGGATATAAATGGGATACAAGATTAGGCGGTCTGATTTCTAATTGGAGCAAAGATTAGGGACTTTCTGAGTTGGGAGGGGGAAAGTGAACAGGTGTAATTCCCTGACATCAGGGTATCCTACTCCTTCCCAGCTGTCTGTATTCAATCAAAGGGGCAAGGAAACAGTAACTAATTGACCCAGTACAGGGCCAGTTTTCAGGTAACTTCAACTGTGTTGCTTTAACTGTGAGAAAACTTCTTACAATAAGTTTTGAATCTGACTGAGTTTTTGGTCAGTATAACATAGGTCCTTAGTTAAGGGTCTTTAAGCAGCAAGTAGAGGTGGTCCAGCTTCCTAGCCATGCAGGGTTAGGTTCAAACAATGGAATAAAGTTTTCTCACAATTCCCATAATTGATTAAAATTTTCTCACAAGATAGAAATTGGACCAGATGCATAATTGAGTACAAAGCAACGAGCTAGCTTTAAAACTGAGTCACAAGATGGAGTCAGTATGGTTCACTCAATTCCCACATAGCAGAAGCGATTACTGAGTCACTGTCACTGATATTTGAAAGATCATGAAAATGGGAGAGTTACTATAAGGTTGGAAAAAGTCAAATGTACTGATTTTCAAAAAAGAGCCTGCCAACTATAGGTCAGTGAGTTTGACTTAAATTCCTGGGGAAATTCTGGCCTTCCAGAATTATCCAGAAAGGATAACAGGGAAAATATCTCATTATGTAGAAAATGGAGAAATTTGCATTAGAGAGTAATACAATCAGATTTAGAACTGTTTGAACAGACAGTTCATGATTCATTATCAGTATAGTAGGTGGTCTCCAGTGGAGTACCCCAGGGATCCATGCTTAGCCTTGAGCTATTTAACTTTTTTCTAAATCAATTACTTGGATAAAAGTGTATATGGTGTGCTCCTTGAATTTGTAGATGTCACAAAGCTGGAAGGAGTGTCACACATACTGGATGACAGAGTCAGGATCCAAAAGGATCTTGACAGCCCAGATGAGCATTGGCATAGATTTAATAAAACATTCAATAGGGAGAAATGTAAAGTTTTGCTCTTGGGTAAAGAAAATTAACTTCACAAGTCTAACTGGTAGGAAGCCTGGATAGAACAGTTATTCAGAAAAACACATCAGGGTTTTAGTGGATTGGATGCTCAACATGAGTGAGCAATGTGATGTGGTAACCAAAAAAGCTCATGTGTTCCTGGGCTGCATTAGTCAAGGTATAGCGTCTGGGAGTGGGGAGGTGATAATCCCACTGTACTCTGCTCTGGTCAGACCTTATGTGGAGTATTGCATTCAGTTTTGGATGCTATAGTTTAAGAAGGACATTGGTAAGCTGGAGTACATCCAGAGGAGTGCTACTGCAATGGTAGAAGGCCTTGAGCCCATGACTTACTTACAAGGACTTGTTGAAGGAGTTGGGGATATTTAGTGTAGAACAGATTCTGGGGTGACATGACAGGTGTCTTCAAGTGTTTGAAGGGCGGTCACATGGAGATGGAATTAGATTTATTCTCTTTTGTCCCAGAGGGCAGAACCAGGAGTAATGAATGGAATCTGTATTGGCCAATTTAGGCTTGATATCAGGAAAAACTTCCTAACAGTGAAAGCTATCTCAAAGTGAGAGTTGTTAGGTTTCCCTTCCTTCAAGATCTTTAAGTAGGGTTTGAATAATCATTTGTCAGGTATGTCATACCTGTGTTATATCCTGTGAAATGTTTTTGTTACCCAAATTTGCATTATTTGAACTATCATTACATGTAAAATATAGCACTAATGGAAATATGCAAAGAAAATTAGTATAATGTGATCATTTCATGGAATTCATTATTCTCACTAATGAGGACCTATACATAGTGAGAATTCCTGTATAGGTTAGATTTTATGACTTCCAAGGTCCTGTCTAGCTCTTATGTTCTATGATTTCATTGATCTTTGGATGATCTTCAGCTTAAGGTCCTCAGACACTCTACTTAGTTCTACAATTCAAAGTTACACAATATTGTTAGAATGTATTTTAAAATAGGCCTTTGATTCACTGTTCCCATAAATAGTTCGAATTATTGTCACCACTTTGAATTGTTGCCATATTTGTTCTCTGATGCCTTTCTTTTCTGATTTGCTTTTTTCTCTTTCCTTTCTCTGATCCTTTTTCTGTTTTTCTCAGCTTTTTTTTTTTAAACCAAGCAACTTGACTTTTGTAGGCAATGATAGACAATAAGCACATCTTTGCTTTTGTTGTTAAAAAAGATCACTTATAGCACATCAGATGTAGTCTTTGTCGCTTCAGTGCTTTTATCTTTGCTTATTGTTACTCGGGGGTTTGCATCTTTGTTGCCAAAGGTGATTTCTTCCTTTACCAACTTTTGAGTTCAGCTCTACTCAAGATGCTTCAGATTTTTGAAAGTTTGATTTTTGCACAATTGAAGCATTATGGTATTTTGGCTAAAAGTTAATTATACTTTCTTGTTGAAGATAATAGCCCTTCTTGGGTCTTGAGCCAATATAAATATATAGCAGATTAATGTATAAATATTAGACATATACTATTTCTCCTTAATTTCATATTGTTGGTTTTTAACATTTATCTATTTTTTCATATATGAAGTAATATAAAACATATTTCCACTTTAGCTATGTTGCAAAAAAAATGGAAGTGAAAAAAATACTTTAGTATTTAGTATAGTATTTAGTATGCTCAGAATTCATTAGTTCTCTCTCTGGAGATGAATAGCATTTTTTCATCATGAGTTGTTTGGAATTGTCATAGATCATTGTATTGATCAGAATAGGTCAATCTTGCACAATTTACTATCTTTACAATATTTCTGTTACTGTGTGCTAGTACATAGTCCTAGCTTGTTCACTGTGCATCAGTTCTTATAAATCTTCCCATCTCCTTAATTTGTACTGAATATGAATTTTGAAACTACAGGGGGGGATTTTGGGGGGAGCTACGGAGTATAGGAACAAAATTTGAGGGAGAATGATTATTTGCAGTGCTTATTTTTAGTACTTTTTTCAAACACTCTCTACAGTCACTTCATTTATTTAGTCGCGTATTAGCAACAGAAATTGCTCTCTCCAAAATTAACAATGATTTCTTGACTATCATGTCTAATACCCTTGTCTCAGTCATACTGCTTTTTGACCTCTCTATTGTATTTGACACTGTTGACCACCTTTTTTTCCTGGATACCCTCTCCTTTCTAGGTTTTTTTGGGCATGTTTTAATTTTTCTCCTACATGTTTAGTCTTTCTCAGTCTCCTTTTCTTCATCATGTTATGATGATATTTCTTCATTCATGTTATTCTGACTAACTATATGTATCCCCTGAGGTTCTATCCTAGTCCCTTTCCTCTTTCTTCACTTTCCCACTTGGTGTTCTTATCAGTTCCCCTTAATTCAGTTATCCTCTCCGTGCAAATGACTCCCAGTTCTGTATATCCAACCTAAGTTTCTCTTTTGAATTCCAGTCCTGAATCACCAACTGTTTAACTGAAGGATATCACAAACTCAGCACTTCAAAAACAGAACTCAGCTGTCTTTCTCCCAAAACCCTTCCCCTCTTCAAATTTCTCTGTTTCTTTCAAGAGTATCACCAGTCTTAAACAGTCAGCCCAGGTTTATAACCTTGGAGTTGTCATTGTCTCCTCACACTTCCTTACCACATATCAGCTGATATTTTTTTCATACCACCATGTTATTTATCTCTGCTTTTATAGACATACCCACATATACATATAATATTATAGCTTGGGAGCTACCTTAGAAGTCCAACGCCTTCATTTCACAAATAAGGAAACGGAGATCTGAAGACAAGAAGTGACTTTCACTAGGCATAATGTTTAAAACAGATAAAAGCTAGCTTAGAGAAATCTCAATCTTTTAAGATGCTCTCATGTCTTTCAGTTATTTAGTGATAGCTGTGTGCATTCAATTTGTACATGAATAGGGAAGGAAATGATACATTTTTGCCAAAATTAAGCAAGTTTCATCATAGTATAATTTTTTTTTAAGGGAAAAGGCCACCTTCATAACCAGAACGAACATTTCCAGAATGAAGGAATTGGTAAGTGAACATTATGATATTTTTTTAAAATTTCTTTTGTTTATATAAGTGTCTGTGTTTTGAATTTCAGGCTATTTAAAACAGATCTTAGGACTAAACTTGCCAGTTGCTTTGAGCAGCATGCTTGACCTTTTGTGTACTTGTATTTTTTGGTTATGTAAAAAGAGGAAATTTTTAAAAAAGAAGTCTTACCATGAGTTTTGAGGGAAACCACTAATGAAGTGTCAGAGCCAGGAATGATGAGTGTTTTGAAAAATGAGAAAACAATTCATTCAGCTTCCTTTTTTTTCTTTACTTTAGAGGGGTTTTTGTTTGTTTCTGAAGTATTTCACGTCCTCCATGTTTCATGTTTTACCAGTTTCAAAATATACTTAATTAAAATTACAACAAAGCATATTGGGGGCAAATTACTTAGATAATAAATTACTAAATTCCATTTCTGTATGAGGTTTATTTTTATAAGTTAAAGTTTGCTTAGAAAAAATTTTTAACCTGGTTGAAGAAAAACATTTTCCTTAATAGTTATTTCTCTGAAAGAACTCTTTTCCCCAAATGGGAATAGTAATGCTGATATGCTACTCCTGTCTTCAGATGGTTATAATGAACATTATAATGTATATAGCATGTATATAGAACTTGCAGTGGCAAACTGACAAATCATAGATATAATATGCAATGTCTAAAATGCGTTATTGCTGATTAGCTCTCTTCTTGGATGAATTTTTTTTATTCATAAGGAATAATTTTTAAAAAATTAATGTTCTTTTTCTTGTCTGTTTATTTTTAGTTCAACCCAATCCATCAGTACTCATCGGCAATCCTATTAGAGCATATACTCCTCCTTCCCCTCTTGGACCTCACCCAAATGTGGGAAAGTCTCCTAGTCCTGTCCAAAGGATAGATCCTCACACTGGGACTAGTATTCTTTATGTACCTGCTGTCTATGGAGGAAATGTGGTTATGTCTGTGCCTTTACCTGTAAGTATAGATTTTAGATATTTGCTGTTTATTAAAATAAATACTCATTAATATCAAAGTAGGAACAGGTCTGAACCATGCTCATTCAGGTTCAAACTCTAGTTATTTTGCTATCTTTACTTCAGAAGAGCCATGATTTCATCCGTGTAGATATTCACTCTACCACACAAATTGCTAATCTTAGTTGTCTTAGTTTATGGTCTTCATGAATTGTTGTGGCCAAAACAATTCCACATCTCATAGACAAAATTCTGGTGATAAAGCTCTATGAAGTTAACTAAGCTAATCATTTGATTAATAGGCTGCCTACCTGGTACTCCCAAGCTTTTCCACCTTTGTAGGAAATGCCAGAGTTCTCACTGCTGAATTGTCCTTGAAGAATCTAGGGTTGTCTTTTCACCAGAATGAGGTGTTAGGATAAAGCTTTGAGCTTTTAGTCATTTAACATGGCATAAAAGATGTTGTTTTTTGTTTATATTTTGTCATTAACATATTTGGAGGAAAGAGAGGAATGAGCCGTTTTTGAAGAAGAGGTTCTTGTAAAACATTTTTTACCATGGTTGATTTGACTAGAGGCTAGTGAAACCTGTGATTTGGTTTCCTGTTTTGGAAAGTGGTGTTTTTGTTTGCTTCTATAGAACTTCACAGGTGGAGATTTATCTTTTTTATATGCTAAAAACTCCTAAGGAATAAAGGTTATTTGAGAAGGCTTTACCTTCCGAAGAGGCTTCAGCTTCTAATTTGGACTCAAATTTATTTGAGGAATACCACACTTTATTATGTCTTACAGCTATTTGAAAGCATAGCTCTACCCTTTCTATGAGCATAGACTTTTGAGATCTCAATGCTATACCTGAAGGATACTTAAAGAGATTTAGTAGGATATGTCGGCCCTTCCTAATACATTTTAAACCATTTCAATTTCCTTTGAGACTTAGCATATTTTAGTAATTTTATTTGATTTGCTGTTCCAACTGCCATGTGGCCAGATCTAGGGATTTAGCCAAGATGATATATTTTCTTTCATTTATAGCAAGTACCTATAAGTTCAAGTAGTTGCTGTAATTCATCATGAGGAAGTATTGCCCAATTTCTCTTCTGTTGCTCTCCATCCCTATTCTCTACTCCTCCCTGAAAAAAAATAAAGCTGCTCAGATGCAAACGTTTTTGTCAGGTTGGCCAGATGTCATACTTCAGGTATCTAATGAGAATAACTGTCATGAAATATGCAGTTCATACACAGTAACTATAAACTTTAGAATTCAGCGGAGTTGTTTCTTATCACAGTCTGGCAGCAGTAAACATCATCTGTGTTAAACAGTAAGTCCCTTAGGACTAAGATTCATTTTACTAGGTCAAAGAAGTTTTTGTTATACAAAGTTAATAGTAGTTTGCATTTAATAGTTATGTTTTAATAAAATGAGCAATTGTTTCGTAGGTTTCTCCTCATTCATTTTGTGTTAATATGCAGGGATAATATGTCTATCTTTTAAAGTAAGTTTTCAGATTTTGTAATCTAACGTATTACAGTTGGCAAAATCACTAATACTTGTAGGAGCAGTAATGGTTTTGAGTTTTACCTACTGGAAATGAGTTTTTAATTTTATTTACATATAAATTCATGTATAGATTAGATGATTACTTTGAAGGTGATTGATTAGGAATCCACCAGACTAAATTTTCTTTTTTCACATAAGTGAAACACAACCTAATGACCAGCTACAATTATGACACAACATTTTTCAAGGTAATCTGTGCATATACTCTGATGAGAAGAAATGATTCCAAAATATAGAATGATAATGAAGATGAATTTTAAACACTTCAGTTCTTCTCTAAGTTTATAAAATTCCAGATTTCATTTATGCATTAATGTTGTGTGAGCCATGTAATTTCTTGGCCAATAAATATATTAGGCTATTCTTTATGATGTGGTATATGCTGGTCATTCAGCAAATTCTGACTTATCATGAGAATTTTGTAGTTATTCTCTCTGCTAGAATTGATACCCACCCCTGATATTCCTTCCCCTTACCAGTACCACTGGAATAGTTTGTCTTCTGCAGTCTTTTGAAATAGATTTAATAATTTTAATTCTTCTAATTACATAGGTACCATGGACAGGGTACCAGGGTAGATTTGCAGTTGACCCTCGAATCATTACACATCAGGCAGCGATGGCATATAATATGAACCTGTTGCAGACACATGGACGGGGGTCTCCTATACCATATGGCCTTGGACATCATTCACCAGTTAGTATAGGGCAACAGCAAATTCAGCATCAGGAAAAGGATCAACATGAACAAAATCGAAGTGGTGAGTTGTTTTTGCCATACTCAAATCATAAGTAGGATATGGGCTGAGCATGTCAATCACTACCAACTAGAAAATTCCCTTAAAGAACCCCATTAATTATGTTAGATAGGGGCTATTCTCTGATACAATATTTAACATTTACATTTTAAATGCTTTCAGTATTTAGCATTTAAAATTTGAGGCAGAAAAACCAAATTCTTCTTTTAGATATACTTAGAGTTAAATGACAAAAATTGATTTAAGATAGTTATTTTAATCAGGTCATGGTCATTTCTGAGAATTTTAAGAAAGAAGAGAACATTCATTTTATTTTTTTACCCTGATTTTTGAAATTACAAAAGCTCTGTTTTTGAACAGTTTTTGAAATATAAAACAAAAATTCCTTGTTCTTTTAAAAATCAGGAACTCTGCATTGCTTTATTATAGTTGCTATCTAATCTCATATATAACATTAATTTAAGAATACATTGGTACTATTAGAGTATCTATAGTGGACTCAAAAGAAATCTCCACACCCTTCAAAAAAAAACCTTAGGCATTAGGGATTCATTAACTCTATTATATAGTTGTTTTTCTAAGGTTATTGTTTTTAATTCAAAATTGAGTTATGAGGAAATTATTTAAGAAGACAAAGTTCAAGCCAACTTTACATAAAGATTATGTTTCTTTTAAGAATTTAAAAAATTTGTGGGAATTGATTTCTTATTTTATTTAAGTGGTATGTTATCTTAGCACCATACTTGATATACATCTTTTTGTTTCTTGATCCTTATAAAATTATTCAGTTGAGTCAGGAAGACAGAAGGGAACTTTTCATCATGTAAATGATTCTGGTCTATAAAAAATGCTGAAAGAAATTTTAGGTTACCAAAAATAATGCCGAAATTCCCCTAGACCTGGAGGGATAAAGCATAATAAACCAGTGTAAGTTTGACTCATTGACAACTTGACAGGAAGTTTTTGTTTAGAAGGTTCCTGCTGAGTCAAAAGCAAAACTGGAACTGAAGGTGTCAAAAGGGTGTCCATCTCCCTCAAAATATATTTTCCTTGAACTGAAAAAGTCCTGGCTTAGAGTCATTTAAGTTCTTTGTGCCTCAGTTTCCTATCTGTAAAACAAGGGAATTGGATTAGATGATCTTTCACATTCTTTGCAGTTCTAAAATTTTATAATTTTGTGCTCATTTGTAATAACCAAACATATGCAAGTTTGATTCTCGTTGAGCTAAGTCATTGTTTAAAGTTTTAAGGAGAAAACATGACTAAGCACTTTGAATTAACAAAAAATAAAAATTGAACAGTAAAACTTCTTTACTGTAGTGTTCTCTAATATGAAATTTGAAATAATCTAGTCATGAGAAGTATGACTTTTATTATGTAGAAAGTACAAAGTAATTTCTCCTACAGAATTTTAGGATATTGAAAGAGAGGAAAATTCAGATTAAAATTAGTAGATTTTTCCCTGCTTTGGAAATCTAAGGTTGTCATGGCTCTGCCACTTATTGACTGTGACTTTGTCTGTTAAATGATGATAATAATACTTAAAATACTACCTTATAATTTAGAAAGTTTTCTAGATACTAAGAAAACCATTAATAAGTTCAAGATTTTTTAATGGACTTAAAATGACTATCAGGTAAGGCTCACCTATTAAAGGACTTTGATGTTTGGGATACTTATGAAATTTGGGCTTTTTGAGATTTGTAATTTAAAATTAGCTCACTTATTTATTAGTATCCATTTATTTTTAGATTTTTAATCATTACTACTTAATATAAATTGTATTCACTTTAAGATATAATAGATACTTTGTTGTCAAGTGAACCCATTCTTTGGAATTAATGAAATATAATAATATATTTTTTAAATCAAAACACTAAGCATTTACAAAGGAGCTAAAATTCTGTTCAAATGGAATCAAGGTAATGAATGTGCTGTAGGTTTGGGGAAATTTGCTGTTTTACCTAGTACAGTTTTATGCTTTAATGTTATACTTCTTTATGATTCAGACTTTGATAATGGGATTTGCTTTAATTAAAGATTTACTTTGTTTTGTAATTTAGCCAAGAAAGTGCAACTTTAAAAAAAATCAAAAGAACCAAATTGAAGTGGGAAATGGGAATAATCCTGAAACTTATGAGTAACTACAAGTAGTTTCGTTTTACATATAAATGAAAACAATGGTTTCAGTCTGTTTTTGTTTTTTTTTTTAAGGTAAAAGTGATCCTAATCCAGGACCTGACATAAATAAAATTCGTACTCCGGAGAAAAAGCCTCTAGAATCCAAACAGGTATGCTGTTTACATTTAATAAATGGATTTTGCTTTTGACTATCATACTATCTTGTGTGAGCATTCATTTACTCTTATTCCTAAGCATTTTCATATCATTGTTACATTAGAACTTAATAGGTTCTATTCTAGAGGGTGTCACCCTTGATGTATAGTTTTTAATATTTTTGGTTGGCTATTGTAGTCTTTCCATCTTTTATCCTTTAGGGTTACACTTGTAAATATCAGAATTTGCCATGGCATCATAAAGCATGAGGGTATAGTATTCTTAGTATAAAAATTCTGATCAAGATTATACCTAGTTACACTGTTAATTTTTAACTTCTTTGATTATAGCCAAGTGTTACCAAATATGTTGCTGAGAATCACTTTGGGGAATGGAGGACAATTCTAATGGAGAGAGTAGAAAAATAATCCTTTGAAGAGAACACATTTTAATCAATCAAAAATCACTTATTAAGTGCTTACTATGTGACAAGCAAAGGGCTGAGGGATGAGGATAGGCAAAAGTACTCTCTGACCTCAAGGAGCTCACTAAGCTCACATTCTACATCTTCTAAGTAAGTACAATGGTAATTCCAGAGGGCAAGGAATTAACAGCTAGGAGAACTGGGAAAGGCCTCCTACAGAAGATAGGATTGGAACTGAGTTTTGAGAGAAGCCAGAGGAACTAAAAAGCTGAGATGAGGAGGGAGAGAATTCCAGAGATGGGGGATAACAGTGCAAAGACATGGGGAAAGTAGTTGGAGTTTTATGTATAAAGAATAGCAATTAGGGCATATATCTGGATCATAGAGTATGTGGGAGGGAGTGAAATGTTAAGAAGATTGAAAGTATAGGAAGGGGCCATGTTATGAAGATCTTTCAGTGCCAAACAGAGGATTTTATATTTAATACAGGAGATAACAGTAAGTCGTTGGAATTTATTTAATAGGGATAAGGGGGAAGGAAATATAGCCAGACCTACACTTGAGGAAAATAACTTGGGCAGGCAAGTGGATGGATAGAGTGAAGTGGTAAAAAACTTGAAATTGGGAGGTCAACCAGTAGGCTAATAGTCTAGGTGAAAGGTGATTTACTTTGCAAATGGGTTTTGCACCAGAGTGGTGGCAATGTCAGAAGAGAGAAGGAGGAGTATATTGTAGGTGTCATAAAGGTAGTAATGACAAGACTTGGCCAAAGATTGGTTAAAGGGCGTGAGGTAGAATGAGAAGTAGAGTATGATGCTTAGTTCTGGATCAGTGGGAGTATGGTAGTACCCTCCACAGTAATGGGGAAGTCAGAAAGGGTGTGGGACAGAGTTTTAAGGTAAGATTTTGAAGTAAGTTGATGACTCCAGTTTTGGACATGTTGCATTTAAGATGTCTATAGGACATTCACTTTGAGGTGTTTTATTAGATGAGATTAAGCTGTTGGAGATGTGGGATTGGAGATCAGGAGAGAGGTTAGGGTTGGATAATTGGATTTGAGAATCATCTGCATAAAGGTGAGAATTGAATCCATAGGAGGGGATGCATTCACTAAGCAAAATAGTATAGAAGGAGAAGAGAAGAATGCCAGGACAGAGTCTTGCCGGACCCTTAATATTAGTTGGCATGACCTAGATGAAGATCCAGTAAAGGAGACAGAGGGGAGCACTCAGAGAGTTAGGAGGAGAACCAGGAAAATAGTCAGGACAATCACTAGAGAAGAAGGTGATTAACAGTGTCAAAGGCTACAGAGAACTCAAGATTTTGAAGATTGAGAAAAGGCCATTAGATTTGACAATTAAAAAGTTGTTGACAACTTTGGAAAGAGCAATATCAGTCAAATGATGAAATTGGACCCAAATGGCAGAGAATGAGAAGAAAGGGAGTGGAGGTACTGTCTGATTAAGGCCTTCTTAAGGAGTTTAGCCAAAGAAAGAAGGAGATAGATAGTACAGTAGTTAGTGGGAATGGACAAGTCATTTGAAGGTTTTTTGAGGATAAAGGAGATATGGGTATGTGTAGAGGCAGTAATAAAACAGCCATTAGATAGATATTGAAGATAAGTGGGAGTGGAAATGATACAGGTGGAGAAGACAGGATGGAATGAGATCACTTGTACAGGTAGAAGGTTTTCCTTGGCAAGGAGAAGGGCTGCTGCTTAATGTGAGACAAAGGTAAAGGAAGAAATAGTGGTCGAAGGCATATGGGTGATATGAGAAGACTGAGCTCATGGCTAGTGGCCTCAGTTTTTCTGTAAAATATGAGGCCAACTACTCGACTGAGACAGTGGAGGGAGAGTTTTGAGGAGGGTGAAAAGTTTTGCAAAGAACAACTGTGTTGAGTAGAATAATGAGTTCGTTAGAATCTCCTGGCAGCAGTGAGGGCACCATGGAGGTTGTGTAACATAAATTTGTAGTGGTCCTGGTAAGCAGTTTTGTGATTTTCTTCAGTTTTATGCAGCAGCATATATAGCAGATAGTGAGAGTGAGCCAAGGCCAGCGTTTGGAAGGGCAAGATCAGCAATATGATAAGGGGGCAAAGGACTCAAGAAAAAGAACAATATAGCATGAAACTGGTTCACCAAAGGGAGTTCAAGATGGGAAAAAGAGGAGAGTGGAGCTAGTGCAGGGGTGATAGCCTGGGAAAAAACTGAAGGTTCAAAGCATTGGAGGGCACACTATGGGCGAAGAACAGGATTTGGGGTTTCAAAGCAGAGGGAGAGGTAGAATGACAGTAGATTCTGATCAGATAAGGGAATTTAAGAGTTCTTGAACATGGAAGTTGTGCATTTGTGGATGATGGCTGTATCTTTGTACATGAGGTGGGGTGGAGTAGGTTGTATGAAATGAGTAAGTTGAGGAACTGGAAGGTTAGTGTGTTTTAATGAGTATTAATAGGTAGATTGAAGTACCCTTGTATGGTGGTAGGAATTGAGGAGGAGAGAAAGACTGATCCAGGGATTAAATTCATTGAGGAAATAAAGGAAGTATCCTGGAGGTCTGTAGAAAACATACTGATGATTCATTACTTTTCAATGAAGCTCCAAATTTTGATTTTCCATGCTCATTGAGGACCAAAGTAGAGTTAAGCTGAAAACTCACTAATAATCTTTAAATCTCACTTAAGTTTTTTTAGGTGCCTTGTAGAAGGCTAATAAATAGTAAAAAAAAAAAAAAAAAGATCAAATGATATATGTAAAATGCTTTACAAACCTTAAAGTAATTTCTAATTTTGAGTATTATTTGCAAAATGAAGTAGTTTCATTTTCTTCTTTTCTCCCTGCCTTTACATTGTCTTTATTGCTAATCAGCAGTGGCATGGCCATAAGTCATAATCAGGAAGAAAAAAGAAAAAAAAAGCAAGGGTACTGAGTAATTTATAAATGGCAGTAATAGTCCTTGAATAATTGAAAGTTGTACTCTGTTTAATTTTTTAACTTAAGAAAATTACAGTAAATTTATTTTTTCATTTTTACCATTCTTTTAAAAAATTCTCAAGTTCCTGATTCTCTTCCTCCTTCAGAACCCTCTCCTACCCATTGAGAAGGCAAAAAATGTAATAACAATTACACATGTGAAATGATGCAGAACATATTTTCATATTGGCTATGTTGGCCAAAAAGAAAGTAAGAAAAATAAAGTGAAGAAATTATGCTTCGGTCTGCACTCATACTCCATTAATTTTCTCTCTGGAGGTGGATAACATTTTTCATCATAAGTTCTTCGGAATTGTCTTGGATCGTTGTATTGATCAGAATAGCCAAGTCACTCACAGTTGATCATTGTACAAAATTGCTGTTACAGTGTCAGGTCATATAAGTTTTCCCAGGCTTTCTGAAAACATTCTGCCCTTCCTTCTTTCCTTTCTTCCTTCCTTCCTTCACTTGTCCAGAGTCTAACAGCTAGTGAGTGTTATGTGTCTCAGTTCGAATTTGAACTTAGGTCCTCCTAACTCCAGGCCTGGTGCTCTATCTACTACACCTAGCTGCCCCTGCTCATTATTTCTTATAACACAGTGGTTTTCCGTCATAATCATATGCCACAACTTGTTCAGTCATTTCCTGGTTTAACTGATGGGCACCTCCTCAATTTCTGGTTCTTTGCCATCACAAAAAGAGCTGCTATCAACTTGTACAAATAGGTCCTTTTCTCTTTTCTTTGATCTCTTTGAGATACAAACCTAGTATTGCTGGGTCATAGGATATGTACAATTTTAGAGCCCTTTGTGCATAGTTCCAGATTGTTTTTCAGAATAGTTGGATCAGTTCACAACTCCACCAGCAGTGTGTTAGTGTCCCAATTTTTCCGTATCCTCTCCAACATTTGTCATTTTCCTTTTCTGTAATGTTAGCCAATCTAATAGGTATGAGATATTACCACAGAGTTGTTCTAATTTGCATTTCTCTAATCAGTAGTGATTTAGAGTATTTTTTCATATGCCTATAGATAGCTTTGATTTCTTTTTCTGAAAACTGCCTGTTCATATCCTTTGCATGTCTGTATTCAGTAAACATTTGTTAAGAATCTTCTGTGTGCCAGACACTGTGCTAAGCACTGGAGATACAAATATGAAAAAGAAAGTCCCTGCTTTCAGGGAGCTTACAGTCTGATGGAGGAAGACAACACACAAAAGAAAGCTGAAAAGTTGTGGGGGGTGGGGTGGGGTGGGGTGGGAGGGAGTACCTGGCTTGGGGGCATGGTGGAAAGCCAAAGAAGTCCAAAATGAGTACACCTGGGTGAGAAATAAGACAATGTGAATTTCAGGATGCCAATACTAAGCTTTTCTCTGGATCTTCTTTGTTTTCATACCCCTTTCAGAGCATGTGCTGTATTTTACAGAACCTATATTTTCATTTTAAATTTTATCAATATCTTTTGTTTTTAGATCACCTTCATTTCCAAATATCTCTCCCTAGAGAGCTATCCTTTCTAACAATAAATTTTTAAAAAAGGAAAAAAAAAAGTAAAATTAACAAACACATGAACCAAAGTCTGACAGTGTATGTCATCTTCCACGCCTATAATCTCCCACCTCTGATAGGAAAGGAGGGAGTAGGGGCAGCTAGGTGGCACAGTGGATAGAGCACCGGTCCTGGATTCAGGAGGACCTAAGTTCAAACCTGGCATCAGACACATAACACTTATTAGCTGTGTGACCCAGGGCAAGTCACTTAACCCCATTGCCTAGATCCCCCCCCCCCAGAAAAAAAAGAGGAAGTAGAATCTTTTCCCTTCTTTGTGCACAAGCTTGATCATTGTAATTATATAGTGTTTGAGTTGGGGATTTTGTTGTTTTTCTGTTGACATTGTTATAGTTCTGTATGTTTGCCTATTTTTGCTTTCTTTCACTTTTCATCACTTCCTACGTCCTTCTGTGCTTGTCTGTATTCATGTTTTTAACAATACAGTAATAGTCCATAACATTAATATGTCATGACTTCTTTAGTTATTCCCCAGTCATTGGGGAACTCTACTTTTCTCCTCATTTCTTTGCTACTACAAAAAGTATTGCTCTAAATATTTGAATGTATTATATGGGATTTTTCTTTCTGGTTTTGACCTCCTTTGCCCTCCTTAGTAGTGGAATATGGCTTAAAGGATGTAGACATTTTAGTCACTTTTTCTTTTTTTGAAAGCATAATTACAAATTACTTTCCAGAATGGTTAAAACAGTTCACAGCTCTACTGATACTATATTAGTGTGCCTCATTAGGTGAGGACTTTCTTGATATTATACTGAGAGCTCCTTGAGGCCAAAGATTGTCTTTTGCCTTTCTTTATATCTCCAGTACTCAGCATAGTACTTAGCACATAGTAGGCACTTAATAAATATTTGTTGACTGTACCTACCAGACATTGATCATTCCCATCTTTTGTCATATTTACTAATTTTCTGGGTGCAAAAGTAAAGTCTCAGAGTTTTGTTTTGATTTTAATTTCTCTCATTAGTGATATTGGGTAGTCTTTCATATATGTTTATCAATACTTTGCAATTCTTTTGAAAACTATTTGTTTCTAGTCTTTGACCATCATTGGGGAATGTTTCTTGGTCTATTGGTGTGTGTTTGTCTATGTGTAAGTGTATAAAATTTTAGATAGTAGAATTTTTTTTTTTTTGGTGAGGCAGTTGGCATTAGGTGACTTGCCCAGGAAGTGTCAAGTGTCTGAGGACTGATTTGAACTCAGGGCCTCCTGACTCCAGGGCAGGTCTTCTAATCACTGCAACACTTAGCTGCCCCTGGGTAGCAGGATTCTATCTGAGATACTTGTTGTAAGTGTTTTTTCCCAATTGGAAGCTTTTCTTCTTAGGCTAGTAATATTGATTTTATTTGTGTAATTGAAATGACCTATTTTATCTTTCTCTTATATGCCTTGGTTGGTTATGGAATTCATGTTTTTAAGACTTCGAGGGCTGACAAAGTGGTCTGTCATGTTTCTTCAGTGTGTAGATTTTTTATAATGGGTTATGTTGTGAATTAAAAATGAAAATAAAAATGTGATAGCAAAATGTATTTCTTGCCAGTAGTATTCTCTTTACCTAATATAACTTCTGTCCAATTTCTTCAGTTGATAAATTAAGGCACTAAAGGAATACATACTTTCTTGAATTACATTAAAAGTATTTGGTCAATCCTAGCAAGTACTATTTTATGTAATGGTAATATTTTATTTAAAATACTCTTTGCTCTTCATTAGTAGACTTAACTTTCTAAGTGAATGTGTGAAAGTAATCCAGTTAGTCTAAGTGTACTAGAATGAATTATTCTAATACATAACACAGAAATTGACAACAAAACTCATGTTTGGTATCAAGGCACTGCAAATGAGAGAATTTAGATTTTGAGTGTTAAAAAAATTGAATCTTCTGATAAGTCATACTATCATGTTAATTATTAATACATATATAGTATATGAGAGAACAAGAACATCTCATATATTTTGCGTTAGAACTCACTATAGCTTTTTTTCTCTGTTATTTTACTCTAATTTTTTTTGAAAGTTATCAGTATGTCTAATTGTCTGAAAGTGAACGGTTTGTCCTCAGAACCTCAAGGTGTTGTTACTTCTGTAATTAAGGTGTTTCTTTTCATTCTCTCTAGAATGATTTAGATTCAAATCCACAGAACCGAAGTCCAGAAGCTCGCCCTGGAGTTACTTATCCTAATTCCAAGTTTCATCGCAAAGATAATCTCAACCCAAGACACCTAAATCTTCATCTTACTGCTCCCCACACACAGTATGCAGTCCCTCATCGCCACTATCAGCACTTATCCCAGCTACCAAGACAACCATTTCCAGTTCAACAGCCCCCAAATTTAAGTCATCAGCAGAATCATTTCCCTGAGCAACCGACTCAAATACCACCTCAACCAAACCAAGCAGTCCAGCAGCATAACCACTTGAATCAACAAACTCAGCAGCAGCCCTCTCAACTTTCTCCTACGTATCAAGCAGGCCCCAACCATTCCTTCTTTAATAACGCAGTCTCTCATCGACCACATTCTCCAGCGGTAGATACAGTGATATCTGAACAGCACCCTCCTCCTATGCTGCAAGAAGTTAACCCTCTGAGATCCATTGCACAACACAACCCAATAATTCCTCCCTCTCACTTGAATAATTTCATTGAAGAAAATCCTCCAGGATTACCACTAGGAGAAGCTTTAGGTAGGTTTTATTTTTATTTTCCTCCAATATCTTTTAAGTTTCACTACTGAAAGTGAAAAGTGATTATTTACCTAATAGCACATGTACTACAGGATATTACTTTAAGGGCAGGATTTATTCAGTTCTTGGAGTAATCCCACTAAGAATAGATTATTTTCCATAATAATCAGAATTGTGTTAATAATTAGTTTTACATAGTCTGGAACATTAGAGTATATACAGTTTGTGCCAGATGAAAAATTTAGATGAGTGATTTCATTCACTAAAATTCTCTTACTTGTTGACAAGTCTAGGGATTTTTTTGTATTCTTCCCAGAATTAATGGTAGTTATTGCTGGATCTTTGTGGGGAAATGCTCATTGTTGGCAGTAAAAGCTTTTAAAAAAAAATCCCCCCTTCAGCCAACAATGGGTATGATTTACGTTTTTTTTTCCTACAATTTTTTTTTTTTGTGTGTTACAGAACGTATGCATGGAAATGTGGCCTTAGAAACATTAAGGCAACAGCAAGCAAGAATGCAGCAGTGGAGTGAGCATAATGCCTATCTCAGTCAAGGCAGTCTTCCATATCCTCATTATCACCACCCTCACCTGCAGCATCTTCCCCAGCAACCAGCAGGATTACATCAACAACCAGTTAGGGCAAACTGGAAACTTGCCAGTAATGTAGAAGATGAAGCAGAAGCAACACATTCAAGGTATTCGAACATTCTTAGAAGTAGCTTCTGAAACAAAAATTCTACCCAGATTTTCTTGAAAATCTAGTCCTTTTATTTTGAATAGGAGTATTCTTGTGAAGGGTCAGCTAGGTGGCACAGTGGACAGAGCACCCAGCCTAGAGTCAGGAAGACTCATCTTCCTGAGTTCAAATCTGGCCTTTGACACGTACTAGCTGTGTGACCCTGGGCAAGTCACTTAACCCCATTTGCCTCAGTTTCCTCATCTGTAAAATGAGCTAGAGAAGGGAATGACAAACCATTCCAGTATCTTTGCCAAGAAAACTCCAAATGGGGTCATGAAGAGTTAGACAGGACTACAAAATGACTGAACAACATTTCTGTGAAAAAATTCTGTACTGTGGTTTACAGGGATATACAAGAATATATTCTTCAGGAATAATTTGGTTGAAACTCCTATAGATTTCAGTTAGCCAAAACACTATTTTCCAGGTATGGATTATGTAGTCTGACAACTCCATGTATTCCTGTTTCCTTATCCCCTCACTTCTAGGGAACTGTAACAGTCTCCTTGTATACAATAAGCATTTGTTGAATTATAAAGGGTAGATGGAAACAGAAGTGAAATCAGTGATTGAAAGTTATTAATTTGTAACTTTGAATGTTATCTAAAAATATGGAGTGCCACCTCTTCATTAAAACAGGTACCCAGGATCATATATCTAGGGCACTGAGGATTTAGCTGATTTGGCCAAAGTCACAGTCAGTGTGTCAGAGGCAAAACTTAAATCCATGTTAGAGATAGAAGGGACCTCAGAAAACATCAAGTCCAGTACTCTGTTCTACAGATGACCAAACTGATGATCACATTAAGTGACTTCAAGAAAAACGTCGAGCAGTAAGGTGGCACATTAGGTAGAGCACCAGCCCTGGAATCAGGAGGACCTGAATTCAAATCTGACCTCAGATACTTACTAGTTGTCATGAGCTTGGGCAAGTCACTTTACCCTGATTGCCTCCAAAAAAAAAAAGAAGGATTTCACAAACATTAGATTTCAGATGAGGGTTTAGAATCTAGGTCTTTTGACTCCAGAGCCAGACTGTTTCTCCTGTACCTGATTAGATCCAATGAGTTTCCAAGTCTTGATTCACCTTTACAATATCTCTCTCATATGTCCCCTTCTTTCTACTCACATGGCCACTAGAGTCCCTCATTTTTATAACAACTTCTTAATTAGACTCCCAGCTTTCATTCTTTCTCTTATAATCCATTCTTCACACATCTGCCTAAATAGTATTCCATGGAGCACAAGTCTTAGCATGTCATTCCTCTGCTTAAAATCTCCAATTGTCCTTATTGCCTCGGGGATAAAATAAAAACTGGTTAGCTTGGTATTTAAGTCTTTTAAATATCTGACTCTAGCCTATGTTTCTAGGTTAATTTCACAGTACTCCCCTTTGCAGGCTTTACATTTCTGTGAAATGGAACTACTTGTTGTCATTTTCTCCTTCACTTGACAGTTTTGGATTTTGTCTATTAGATTACTTTGAGTTTTCATTTTGGAGTTTCTTTTGGGGGTTAATAGTGAATTTTTTTCAGTTTCTATTTTGATCTTTGGTTCTAATATATCTGGGCAAGTTTTCCTTTATAATTTCTTTTTTTTTTTCAGCCAAAGACAAGGTTTATTAGAACATCTACCATATTGGCCAGACTCTTAAGGAGTCTAAATATTTGTATTGCTAACGCAAGCGGGCCAGATCTTAAGAATCTGAGCACCTTAATGGAGACAAGACGAATGTTATATACAGAAAGACTGTGGGAGGGATCCAGTAGTGGCCAAATAGTCTGGGGTGCCTGGAGGAGGGGGTCTAAGGAGGATCTGGATGGGAGTGGCCAGTAAGCTGGGGTGAACAGAAAGCCAGGGACCTGGACCATGTGGCCAAGGGAGAATAGAGTCTAGATAGGATTAAGGGTGAGAAGTGACCAGGGGCAATCGGGAGGTAACAGAACAGAATTGGGAGATTGGGCATAGCCACAATGAAAGGCCAGTTGACTGGATTACAGCCTCAGGCAAACACCAGAGATTTGGGAAAAGTCCAGGGATTTTCTTATTTGGAGTCCAGATCCCAAAGACATAGTCTTTTCCCTTTAGGGGTTCAGGTCCTATCCTCATCATTCCCCCCTCAAACAAATGGGACCCAAATTCTTTTGGGATAAGGGGCAAAGGTCTTGGCCTGTGAAATTGCTTCCTGCTGGCAAGGGGCATAGAGCTATCCCTGCCTCAGGGGGGTCCCAAAGAGGAGCTTGACTGGAACTGAGTACAGGATGCATCCAGGGGATGATGGGGGGACATTGGCTGGTACCCGCTGTTTGCTACCAACTGCAGGTGAATGACCTGTAGTCTGGAAGACACAAATCTGACAGAAAAGACTGCAGGGCCCAGGTATAGGGAGAAGTAAAAGTATAAGAGCCCTATTAAAATCATTTACATTTGATGTGCAGGATTATCTGGTCTCGTTGCTTTTTCAAAAGTTTAAGTTAATATTTTTGCAGGAAGAAGTTTTCCACCCCTGGGTTAAATAGTTACACAAATGAAGTTGCCAAGAGACTGACTTTCACTTCAATTATCACTGAATTCTCCCCAAACCAAACTGAAGATGTTTCTGATTTAATTTCAGTTGTTTGGGGGTATTGAATGATGACACATTCAGGTCAAAACAGCAAGATCTCACACACTTGCATTGATTTTTTTACTGACCACTTGCTCTGATTATAGAAATTTGCTATAAAAGGATAAAACAGGGATAAGATAAGATATAAGGCCCAAATATGACAGGATAAAATATCCTTAGCTCTGTTTGGATTCAGATAATTCACAGTTTTCCAACCATGCAGTATCAAATCCACCTCATAGCCAGACTCAGGAATAGTCAAGTGGGTAACATTCCTTTTCAAAGGAACATAATGGGGAAACTGAGCCAGGAGGATCCCATCTTAGACTGAGCTAAAATTGTCCATGTTCCTAATATAGTCTTCCCACCAGTATCACATTCTCTCTGAGTAGTTTGTGGCATTTCTCTCAGAGATGGTGGATTATTGATTATTGATGGATTATTATGATTTGTGAGACAATTCAAAATAATTTATGGTCCCATGAACTTTTACCTCAAACAGCAAGTTTCACTAATCACAGCTTAGGAAAAACTTTTCCAGGATTTGCATCTCAAATTTAAAATTTGTCCTAGTGTAAAAAGCCAAGCTTTTTGGCAAGTTAAAACATTAAAACAATAGCGAAATTGTTTTAGTGGTAACCAAATTATGAAAAATTGCTTGACATAACTAATATAAAAAGTTCACCAATACGAAATTTGAAACAAATCCATTACCAGTCAGGTGACTTCAACTTTGTTAAATGCATTTCCAAATTACTTTACACAGAGAATCAACACCTGATCATTAACAGTTAAAACTACAACTTTAAAAGAGCGTGCTTACCCAAGTTCAGAGGCTAGCTTCTTTACCTTGACCCATCCACCAAGGTTGCTGGGGGTTGAGGTGGGGATGGGGGTTGGGTAGATTGGGGGATGATCAGGATGCACTGAACCTGATGCTTGCAGGCAAAGGTTGCCCCAGGGCCCGAGGCCATTGCCAGTGGGGCCCATGCTGTAGCTGCTAGCCCTCCCTCCTCCTTCCTTTTGCCAGGTGGGGGAGGGCAAATTCGAAAGTGAGGAGGGAAGGGTGAAACTTGCTTCTCCTATGAGAGAGGTTAACAAAGATACCCTCTTGACTCAAGGGAAGGGAGTGGGAGAAGGGAGTGATCAGGGTGGTAAGGAGGTGTTTCAAAACTCCTTAATGATCAATCACAAAATCTCCAGAATCTATTAAGATGTTTTTAGCTGCTTTAACTTTTCCCTGTAGCTTCCATGAAGGAGGATCCAGGGGTGTAGAGGGAAGGGAGTAAGAAAGCCTCAGGAAACCAAAAAGCACCTGCAGTTTTCCCAATTCCCTAGCGCCTAGAGAATTGACAGAATTGGGTATACGCTTCTGGAGAGGGCGTCCGTCCTTGTTGTCTATGCTGCGGAAGGTGTACCCAGGTCCATGGCCTCGAGCGTCCAGCTGACTGTGAGACAGACTTTAACTGTCTGCCAAAAAAGCACCTCCAAGCCTTCCTAGGTACTTGGAGAGTGACCCCAGCTGCAGGGCAAGTCTTCTGCAGTCTTGGCTGGAGAAGAGCTTGAGGTTAGGCAGCCTCCCCATATGGGCCACCAAAATGTTGAGATTTAGAAGCTTAGGGGTGCTGGGACCCCAAAACCACAACACACAGGTCCTGTCCAAAGAATTCAACCCAAGCCTTCTTTTAGCCAAAAACAAGGTTTATTAGAACATCTGCCGTATTGGCCAGACTCTTAAGGAATCTCAGCATTTGTATCATGAATGCAAGCGGGCCAAATCTTAAGAATCTGAGCCCCTTTATAATTTCTTAAAACATGATATATAGCATTTTTTTTTGTTGTTCATGGGTTTTCAGGTCATCCCAATGATTCTTGAGTTATCTCTCCTCAGGTTATTTTCCAGGTCAGTTGGTTTTTTTCTATGAGATATTTCACATTTTCTTCTATTTTTTGCAGTCATTTGACTTTGTTTTATTATTTTTTGATGTCTTAGGAGTCATTAGCTCTAATTTTCAGTGAATTTTTTTTTCAGCAAGGTTTTGTAACTTTTTTAACAAGTTGTTAATTCTCTTTTCATATGTTTCTTCCATAGTTTTCATTTGGTTTTAAAAAATCATTTTAGCTCTCTCTTTAATTCTTCTATTAATTCTTGTTGGACTTGTGTCAAATCTTCATTTCTACCACAGTGTCTGCCTTGCACTTCTGACTAGCTGCTGCCCCAGTATCCACAAATCCCTTTGTCTATCTTCCTAAGCTGCCCTGGGCTAGAAAAATGACTCACTGTGACTATAGATAACTTTGGTGTTATTTCCTATAATTCTTTAACATTTTCAGTCATTTTTCACTTGTGTCCAACACTTAATGATCTCATTTGGGGTTTTCTTGGCAAAGATACTGGAGTGGTTTGCCATTTCCTTCTCCAGCTCATTTTACAGATGGGAAAACTGAGGCAAATGGGGTTAAGTAACTTGTCCAGGAGGCCAGATTTGAACTCAGGAGGATGAGTCTTCCTGTCTCTAGGCCCAATATAGGCCCCACTGTGCCACCTAGCTGCCTAATGATAGAAGCTTAAAAAGTGCTTTTTGAATTGGATGGTTTTTGTGTCAGAGTCACTTGAATGATAGGCAGTTTTTCCACCTCTCCCTTGGGTCTGATGTACTATAAGTTTTCTTCAGAGAAGAGAGTGCCTAGTGTGGAACTCTCTCCAACAGCTTATTTGTTGATTTAGTTGATATGCACTAAGGAGCTAAACTGCGACATACAAAAATTAGGTGACTTGCCCAGGGTTTTATAACTAGTGGTGTATTTGAATGTGTCTCGTCCTGACTTTTAAGCCCACTACTCACTCTACTGCACAATACTGCCTCTATCTACTGGAGTAATGACTCAAAAAAAAAAAAAAGATGGCAGTTGTTAGCAACAAAAGTTCCAACAAGCCATTGGTGAACCAGAAAAACTTTTTATTAACGGCTGCGGGTATCCCATGTGTGGCCTGCTTGGAGAGGAGAGAGCACAGCTTTTTATTTCTAGGCCCAAATCACAGTTCCCTCCCCTGTTTCCCCATTGGCTGGGTAATGCAGGGTTTACAGCCTGTCTGGAACACCTTCCCCACTTGAGTCTCTGCCCCTAATTTCATCTCCCACTCTCCACGTTTCCTTGCCAACAGCCTACAACTGTTAATACCCCAGTAACTACTCACCAAGGGATTTTGGTGACTTAACCACACTCTGATGAGTGATATGCAGAAGTAACATTCCCAACCACATTTTTTACAGCAGTTATGAAAAAATATTAGGGAGAAGGACTTGTCTCTTTTCAGGTTTAGGATCATTTTTAGTGTATTTGACCCAAAACTTTTATTTTAAAGTACAGTTGATTTTTTCCCCAATTAATATATAATTTTATTGCATAGATTTAAATCTAAATTGAGTACTAAAATTTCATTTGCTTATGTGTGTTGTTATGCGTATGAGATCATATATGTACTGTTTAATGCTTAAAGTATTTAATGTGCCAAAGACTATTTGTTTCTCCCTTGGTGTAACTTATTCTTTTTACCAGGTTTCAAGACTTACTCAGAGAGCTGGCTCATCATGATCAAAGTGAATCTCGGGAGCTAACTGAAATGCCACCACCTCAGTCAAGACTTTTGCAATACAGACAAGTTCAAACTAGAAGCCCACCAGCAAACACTTCTTCATCGAATTCAAACCATAGTGGCCACTTTTCTAACTTCAGCGACAACATCAGAGACATTGAAATGGCCAACAATCCAGCATTTCAGCAGCGTCTGCCACCCCAAATATATAATCCCCCATTCTCAATACCATCTGAAAATCTTACCCCTCCTCCCTTGAAATACCTGCCACCTGATGGATCCTGGACCTTTGCTAATTTACATCAAAATCACTTAATGGGACAGGGCTTTCACTATGGCCTACCACCATTACCACACAGACCACAACAGAACCCTTTTATACAAATTCAGAATCAACATGTGGTTGGTCAGGAGCCATTTCACCCACTGTCATCTCGTGTGATATCTGCTTCTTCGCTCCACAGCTTAGAAGAGGTAGAGTTACGTTCTATCCCCTACCCACCCCCTCATTGTTCACGTGTTTATTTGATCGTGGAAAGGTAAATACTTAATGATTTCATGACTGTGGTGGTAGGCAGCTACTCTTGGGTTAATACAGGTTCATAGGCATATGTTTTTTAGTAGAAGGTATTGAGTAACTTTTGCTAATTATTATTAGACTTCTCTAATTTTCTGTTTTCTCTCCTTATGATCCTTCAGAATTGTGATGTGATCATTATATTTGAAATATGAAGCCTCCCAAGCCTTTTATTGCTTCTCTGGAAGGGCATTAGATGATGTGTGGTTGCTGTCCTTTTGAGTGCTCCTGCCTTTTCTAGTGTGGAAAAATATTTTTTGCTGTTTGATTTTTTTTTTCAATTCATATCATAGCTCTTAAATCTGAAGAAATTTGAGCTTTCTAAAACTTTTGGAATTTTTTTCCATGGTGTTTTGTTCATTTTGCTAACCATTTCTTTACTTAAGATTCATCTATTTCCATCTTGTATCAATGGGTTATGGACTCTGATGATCTAATTCTATATTCAACTTTTTCAGGTGTTTAATGATAAGTTAAATGAAAATTTGAGATAAACAGAATTTCTTTCTTAAAATATTTGTGCTGTTGAGTATAAAATATGTATGTATACATACATACACACATATACTAGTCTCCAATTTAATAGTGTTAATTTTAATATAATTTCTATAGCTATTTAAAATTTGCAAAGTACTTTATACATTTTGTATATAACCTATCCTCAACTTGTCTTTCTAGCTTCATTGGGTGTTACTCCCCGTCCCATACTCTGCAATCCAACCAAACTGGCCTTCTCTCTGTTCCTCACACATGACACTCCATCTTCTTCCCCATGCCTTTTCAGTGGTGGTCCCCTATCCCCAAAGTGCAGTTCTTCCTTTCCCTTGCTTTGTAAAGTCCTTCTCTTCCTTTAAGAAGCAGCTCAAGCACCATCTCCTTCATGAAGCGTTTCCTGATCCACCGTGATTGCTAGTTACTTCTTTACTGAACTACTTTATGTTTAATATTTTGTACACACAATTCTTTATATAAATTTGTATTAAATCTGACTTTACATAAAGAATTATGGAAGAAGTCAGTATTCCAAAAAAATACCTATGTTTACTGTGTAAATACTATGTACACTCTCTCTCCCTCTCTCCTTTTTTTTTTCCCTCTCCTTCTCCCTCTCCCTTCTCTCTCCCTCCCTCTCTCTCCCTCTCCTCTCCTATTCCTTAGTTGGGTGTTTTGGGGCCTTCTACCCCCACACCAAAAAAAAATAACAAAAAAATCCCTTAAAAAAAACAAAACTCCTTTGACATGAAAGCAGAAGAATGGACATACAGAGACACTGCCTCCACCACCACTGGATTGATGGATTGGCTTAAGACCTCTGGCGCTGAGAGAAGAGACCTTTGCCCCTGCTTTAGAATGATCAGTTTTGATAGCTGAGGAGAGGATGGGCTAAAGTGGGGAGAGACTTAAGGCAGGGAGACCAACCAAAAGTCTACTGCAATTGCTCTAGGAGTAAGGTTGAAAAAGGCCTAAACCATCATGGTGACAGTGTCAGAGGAGAGGAGAGAAAGTATATAGGTCATGTTGTGAAGGTAGAAATGGCAGGACTTGACTAAAGATTGGACATGGGGAATGAGAATGAGGAGTCGAGTATGATGTACTGTGAGTTTGAGTGACTGGGAGGATGGTGATACCCTTTGACAGTATTAGGGAAGTTATGAAGAGGGAAGGGCCTTAGGGGTAAAAATAATGAGTTCAGTTTTGAGTTTAAAATGTCTACAAAGCATCCAGTTTAAGATGCCTGATAGGCTGTTGGAAATATGAGAATGGAAATCAGGAGAAGAGATGACTAACAATGTTAAAGGCTGCAGAGAACTCCGTAATTCTGAGGCTTCTGAGAAAAGGCAATTGGATTAGGTAATTAAGGAATTGTTGATAACTTTTTGATAATTGGAAAGAGCAGTTTCAGTCAAATGATGAAGTTAAAAGCCCGATTGCAGAGAGTTAAGAAGAGAGTGAGAAGAAAGGTAATGGTGCTCTTGCTCGTGTATTCTTTGCACGTTTACATTCTGTCTGCGCGCAGGTATTGTGTGCTTGTTCCTAGCCCCGGTGTATGTCTTGTCCTCTCCTTGGTGGAAATACTAATGCTGGACATAAAGGTTTGGAAGATATCTGCATAGAAAGTATCATAGATGGAAGTTTGATTTAATTTTATAGGGTGTTATGTAAACTTTGGCACTACTAGAGAAGGTAAGGAACATCAACAAGGGACAATTAATGTTTCAATATGCAACTGAAATTGGAGTTAGTGATTCCAGTAATACTGATACCTTTTGAAGGACGTCTTCTGCTGAAGAGGTTTCAGATGCCCCTTTCTGCACACCTTGAGCTTCCTCTAGACAACATTTTACACGAACCCCCTTTTGGTGATTGTCTAGGTCAGTTAGGGTCAAGGTTAGTCAGAGTCAGATAGTTGACCAGTTTAGCACACAGCAGGTCCCCAGTAAGTAAAAGGATCTAACAATGTTATTGATGATTTCATCAATACTCATATGTGTCCTGATTTTTCTGATGTTTTCAGCCGAGGTGGCACATCTTAAAACATCATTACAGATATCATTAAATAAGGAATCCATACTCATATCAATCACCATTTATTAGATTTTAGAAGGAATAGATTGCACATTTTAAATTTTTTTTATTTTTTATTTTTTTTTTTGGTGAGGCAGTCGGGGTTAAGTGACTTGCCCAGGGTCACACAGCTAGTAAGTGTTATGTGTCTGAGGCCAGATTTGAACTTAGGTCCTCCTGACTCCAAGGTTGGAGCGCTATCCACTGTGCCACCTAGCTGCCCCCAGATTGCAAATTTTAACATTTATTAAATGAAACAGACTTTCAAATAGTAATGCCTGGTTTTATTAAAACAGGAGGTTTTTAACCTTATAGATAACCAGAGGAATTTTAAGAACAGGTATGAAACATCAAAAATATACAAGAAGCTGCCTGGATTCACCTACCCAGTAGGACTTACATCCTCTGCTGCTTTCCATGAAATAACAAAAACAGCTTCACTGTATTTCCAGGTACAAACAACTGATTTATGTAATTACTTTCAGGTTGTATTTGGTTCCATTGATACTTTCCCCACAGTTCTATATCCATTGGTACTGGAATGTAAATATAACACCCCAGCTGATGAAGAGAACCCAGTGTCAGACCCTTACACATCTGTACTTGGGTCTAGATTGGTGTCAGGTATTTTAGCAATACAGATCCCAGACCAGATGGCATTGAGTACTGTATGTAGAGAAATATTGATCCGGGGGATATGTTTTAATAGTAATTTTTAACATCTCATAAATATAATTTTGTCCTGAAGAAACAGCACATTTATAATGATATCTAGATTTGTAAGAAATGTGATTAGAACTTGTCCTGCAAATGGAGGCTCATTTCTTTAGGCGATGAGATGGACAAAGTCTATGTCCCAGTTTTAGCTATGTTAGGTCAAAGACCTGGAGCATTAGGAATGAATGCACCAGAGTGTGTCAGAAAGATTTTATGCCTATGGATGGCTGCTATATATTATTCATCCATTGACAGCTTTCCCTTTTTAATGCCCTGTTCATATCTTTTCACCATTTATCCATTTGGAAATGGTTTTTGTTTTTATATATTTAAGTCAGATTCTTTTATACCTTGGAAATGAGACCTTTACAGAAAAACACATGGCAAAGATTTTTTTGTTGGTGATACAAAACATAGAAAAAGAATGTGTTTGGTGGCCCAGTTGTATCTGACTTGTGTCAGTTCAGTGCCACACAGTACCATATGACTGGCACTGATATGGGCTGGTTTACATGATGAGTGTATTAATATTATTCATAGGTTGTATCTGGGCAACAAAACTTCCATCTGGTATAATGATGGCTTTACTCTGAGTGTTAGTATTTGTGCAGATGAAAGACAAGAATTGCCCCTTAAGCCCAGTTGTTTTTAGTTTAACTTTGGAACTTGTGATGTGTGCCTGTGATAGGGAAACTGATATCCTGGCATATAAAAATAATCTCAGTCACTTGCATGAATGTTGGCACTGTAATCCATCTATTTAATTATATAAAAATGAGGTTACCACATGTGCAGAGCCACATTTAATGGAACAAAAGGTGTGTCTTTAACTATTGACAGTCAAAAAGAAGAGAGTACTTCCTACTAGATTTAAAGTCCAAATCTAAAGGATTAATGGGATGATGGAGGAAAATACATACTTCTATCTAGGAATCCCTGTGGGTATCATACTGCAAACTCAACTAGTGATAACCATATTGGACTTAGATCTAGCAGATTGGTTGAGTCTAGCACATTGGCCAAAATTAGGTAGTTACGGTCTTTATTTTACCCTACGTCTTTTTCATTTTAAGAATGATATGGTTCCTAAGAATACCATTAACCTCTCGGATAGAGCAATTGTATAAAACAGCAAGAGATAGCTGAATATCCCCAAAAGGGTCAGTATTGACCTTTGGACCACCTTCTGTAAAATGGGAGGGATGAACTTGCTGCCTTTGACTGTAGCAGTGGATGTTGGACAGATTAGATTGCTTGCTTCATTGGATTGGGGTCAGCTTTCTCACCATTTCCTTGACGATATTGTGAGGAAAAGAATAAAGTGTGACCTTCAGCCAGAGGACTTTGTCACATATTTAAATGGCTTAATGGAAGAAGAGTTTGGCAGTGAAGGTGAATCTAATATATGCACCCAGTTACGTTTAACCTCTCATTTGGCCACTAAGATAAAAATTGATTGGAGCAAAATTAATCAGTGTAGATCCCTCTGTTTTAAAATCAATAGCTAGTTTAAAAAAACAAAAGAAAATAAATTAAAAAAACAGATAAGGCTAAGATGTTTTTTAGTCATCTTTACAGCTTTGGCCTCAAACTTTTTATGAAGGGCAAAGATCCT